GACGAGTGATGAATGAGTAATTATATGAAAAGATGAGTGAGCATTCAGTAATATATGAAAGATGAGTGAGCAAGTAGTAATCAGGTGTAAAGTTCAGTGATTATTGGTTAAATTTACTCTAATTTTATTACTCCATACCAAATAGTCAAAACACATCATTATAATAAATCGAAGAAAAATTTTGATTTACATAATGCCCATCAAATAAACATTATCTTACACTCTTCTTAAACAACAGAAAATTATTGTATAAAAGAAGATAATTTACAACTTGTAAGCTAAGTAGATGGCTAGAGACAAACACCATATCAAACATCTGTAGACTCTACCTCTCTTCGCCTGCGAATGTAAGCTATACCATCCCATATTTTTGACGACTTGAACCATGTAGAGATGTCAAACATCATCAGCTAAGTAGATGGCTAGAGACAAACACCATATCCTTAACATCACTAATTTTGCTGAAGAGAGAGTGAGGCTAATTTCTGCTAATCCATAAAATACAGGAGTCTGACCAGCATATCTGTCTAATGGCGAGTCTGACCAGCATATCTGTCTAATGGCCATCTCTCTTTGATTCAACTGATTCATCAGAAAACTCCTAGACATTTTATCATAGAAACATTAATTGTACCTTGCATTTTGTTGACAACAAGAGTCTCCAGCACTTGGCTTGAAATTTTTTCAGCAATAATGAGTAGAGGAACACTCAGTTGGGTGGTCTTTTCCAACAAAGGCACAATATCTTTCACAGTTGATATCTTTTGAGCAGTCACAAGAACTCTAGCATTTTCAAACTTCGCCAGAGATTTATGCTTATTCATAATGAAATGAGGTGACATGTACTCTTTGTCAATCTGTAAGGAAAGAACACTTGTAGAGGAATAAGGAAATAATATAACATGAGGGAAAAAAAACATATTTATATGTAAAAAAGAAGGATATCACCACTAGTTTCATAAGAAAGGTTCATAGTCAATCTCAGTTTCAGTCTGTGGCCATTACGTGTTGGGGAACTATAAGAATCCCATATGCCCCTATGAACCAGATCAAAAACATTAGATGATAGATGATTATGTGAAACAAATGACAATCTTCTTTGTTTGGCAAGTGGAGATACAAAACATGGAACATCATCCATTCTTTTATCAGTCTTAAAATGTAATTGACCTTTCAGGTGCTCCAATCTTTTAAAGGACAAATGCCCAAATCTACTATGCCAAATGCGAGAATTATTCACTACATTGTAAGTAGAATTACAGATAGATTCTCGAACATTACAACCCTTCAATGCACCAAGTGCTGTGTTAATGATATCAAGACCATCAACTCTCTTACCCCTCCCAATCATCTTCGAGCTGTTTAAGTCCTGAAATCATAGTATTTAGCAAAAAATCTTATGCTTACAGAAGAATTTCTGGTCAAAGCACTAATGGATAAGAGATTAAACTTGAACTCTAGTACAAATAGCACATCTTCAAGTATTAAGTCATTAGTGAGTTTAACTCTTCCAGCAAAATGTACAGAAATTCTAGTATGATTAGGAAGTGTAATATAGGCATTATGCACTTTCCTCAAAGTCTGAAAACATCCCGAATCCAACACCCCATGTTTAGGAGAACTCAACATCGAATTAACATAGATTGATAGGCATGTACCTGACACATGGCCTGAATTAGTTCCTTCATCTTCTATCTTAGCAGTAGTGAGATGTGTGCTAAGCATACTCATTAAATGCTGGTATTGCTTCTGATTCAATGTTTGCAAAAAATCTCCAACATTGCCTTGAGTTTGATCTGCAATAGAACCAGAAATTTGATTAGCAACAACATTATTTTGATGAGAACTATAACCTATTTGACAGCAATTTAATGAAGTTGGCCATTGTTAGTACCAAGAATGACTTCCCTTGTGGAAGCTGCAAAACAATAGTAAATACACTTATTTTGCTCAAATTTTGACATATGAATGCGAATCATGCACGGAGACATTAAGCAACACTCAAGTTCACCTTCTGTTATATGTTGCCTATTCTAGGCAACAACATTCACTACAAGGCCTTTCAGTTTGCTCAATACACGAGGCTTGGTCCACTTTGCATGCGTGTAAAACGTGTCAGAAGTTCCATTGCCGACTACTACAGCAATGTAATGGCTACCTCCTTGGTCCACAAAAACTCTATGGATGGACCGTTCCCCAGGTCGACTAGCAGAGAGATCGATATCTATGCAAAAATTACCCCGTAAATAGGCAAAACATAAAATTCGGTGATGAAAGTTAAAATTCTATTCATAATGGTTCAATTGGACAAAAAATGAACACAGAATTCAAAATCAGTTCAGTGGTAGCATTAAAAGGTCAGCTAATGAAACTATTGGCCAATTAATATCGGTATATCACCCAAGCCCAATTTGTTAACTGTTTGGTCAATAAATTCGCTGCCCTATTTAGCAACAAAAAAATTTAGAAATAAATTGACTAGTACCTGTTCAATAAGCAAACATAAAAAGCGATAAAATACTCAATTTCTTTAGCAATTGGAAATCTCCTAACAAAATTTTGGACACACGAAGAAAGTGGAGCTTGAGCACACATCCTCATCTATCTCTACCGACCCTCTGCCCTTGGCATCTTTAGAAATCATACCATCCCATGAATTTGATTTGTGCACTAGAAATTCAGAAAGATTTTTATTGCCATTTTGTGGCCTAAGGATTCTTCTAAATGACTTTAATTAACAAGAACACAAATCAAACTGATTTTTACTTCTAATGAAACTTTATTGCCCCGTTTTCAATTAACTTAAACATAATGAAGACCGTGAGAGATATTAGCCTCAAATTTCTTCCCTATATCACTGACGATTCATAAGTTTGAGTTGGGTGTTCAAGCGTAAAATCCCTTTTCGCGTAAAAATTAAAACAAACCATGAAAATGGAACCCAAGTCTCGATATCCGATTAAATGCGGTTTCCCAACTGCGCGCCCGCAAAGAGAAACACAATAAACTAAGGCACAACAAGACATTAACGAATTTAAGTTCACTAACAGATGTGTATAAAGAAGACAAAAAACAAAGGAAAACCCATCAAGAAATTTAAATTAATCTAGAACACGTGTTCATACGAACGCACTTACTTGGTCAAAACCATTTGGTTCAGTACCATAGTCAGCAGTGAGAAGGAAATAAGAAGTAGTTACAGCAGCCACCATTGTTGTCCACCTGCGACTCAAGACTGGCTGCTCCCAACGACAACTATAAATTCCGACGGTGTGAGGTGAATGAATCGGTTTAGGGTTTGGATTATTTTGGCTCTATTATGGGAAAGGGAAGGAAGTATTGCGAGAGCTTCAAAGGCTCCCTCGTCGTCGACGCCGAAATCGAAGTCCTCGTTGGCGAGGACGTTGATGACATAGCCAACGATTGCCTGGTCAATGTCCTGGATGCGATGCCCAATGACCTCTTGCACCACCGAGCTTGCCAATGGGAAAGATGGAAGTGAATGGATCAGGAGGGAGACGAGAGAAGATGGAGCCGGAGATGAGAGATTGAAAAATTAGGGCTTATGATTTGATTTTGAGGAGGTTTTCTTTTGTTGTTGTGGGATTGTTTTTAACAAGGTTCGTTAATTGTTGCAGAAAGTGATCTTTAGCAACGTTCCTATATACATTGCAAAAAAGAAATATTTTGCAACGTTCAATGTACGTTGCAAAAAAAATCTTTTCGCAACGTTCATTAAACTTTGCCAAAAGTGACCTTTAACAACATTGTTATGTACGTTTGCAAAAAATAGACATTTCGCAACGTTCAAATGCACGTTGCAAAAAAAATACATTTGAACGTTGCGAAAAGTGACTTTTTGCAACGTTCAATAAACATTGCCAAAAAGCTTTTAGCAACGTTCATTGAACGTTGTGAAAATATTTTTTCGGCAACGTTCAACGAATGTTGCGAAAACTGACTTTTCGCAACATGCATTTAAAAATCGTTGCCAAAACTCAATTTTTAACACCAATGGCAACATACACTTATGAGAACGTTGCTATAAACCTCTTTAGCAACATTCAAGCA